GGTCTAGATGGTTGCTAATTTGTTTACGACGAGATTAGACCGTCGCTAATTTTTTTGCGATGGAATTAGCAATTGGTTAATTTGAAATGAGGGTAAAATAATAATAATAATAATATCTAGACCGTAGCTAATTTTTTTGCGACGGAATTGATCGTCGCTAATTTCAAATATTAGCGGCGGTCCAAAACCCTTGCTAAAACCGTCACAAAACCGCAATCATTTTTTGAAATTTTGCGATGGTTTAAAAATCGTCGCAAAGTTTTAGCGACCGGCATTTTATCGATGGAAATTAGCGACGATCGCTAATTCTTTTTTTTTTTTTGGTAGTGCAATGAGAAATGATGCAAATACCGAGAGGCATGGGAGGAGAAGCAAGCAATGCTAACAAGGCATGAGTTAGTGGTCGACATGTGGTTAGTCAAAGTCTAAATAGATAAAGCTTTAGGCGTTGTCCGATATATGAGAGGAAGAGTTTTTAGAGAGAATCCAAAGGTTTCTTTTACTAGACATCAAAAATTCTAAAGTCAAGTTTTCTTATGCAAAAGTTTTTTTTTTTTTTTTATTTCACAATGATGTGAGGCTAGTATTTATAGTGAAAGAAGCGGGCTCTAAACTGCTAAGATTATGTAGCGTCATTCAAATTTGGACGATCGATTTAGCTTGAAAAACTTAGATTTTTTAGACTAAATTGTTTCAACTTGCTAGTAAAGGCTAAAGAAAATAACAATTTGGCCTTCTTTAGTGGATTCTGCTCCAACCCACCAAGTCAATCTCTCTAATACATTTCAAATACAAGGCATGAACTTTGGCCCCGCTAGAATACCTATGTCCATCCTTGCGACTCAAGACTTTGTTTTGAGTTAGGTTTATTTTTAGCTTAAGCCACTTATCATACAATTTGGACCCATGTCAAAATAAAAAAAATAACATGAATTAATATAGAATAAAAATTAGATAAGTTATTTAATTTTGTAAAAGATCTAGCATATAAAGAATTCAATTAATTAATGGTGATAAAGAAGCCCTGCATTGAGGATAGGAAAAAAGAAGAGCAAGATAAAGTGTTTGAAATCTCTATTATGCCTATCATTAACTATTATGTAATGAAAACATAGAAAGTCAACAATCAAAGGTTATTTCACAAACAAAATTGAGGAGTTCAAACAAATTCTGATCTAACAATGATATTTGCTGGTTCAATTCCAAAAGCACGTTCCACAGGGAAAACTCCATGCTGGTTTTCAATAATCATGTTTTCTTGAGGTAATTTGGGTGGAGGACATGCCTGAATTTTTTTTTTTTTTTTTCCTGTTCTTGCTTCTGATGTAAACCATTGAATGATGATCAATAATATTGCATCAGAGGTTCAAATATCAAAATAAAAACCTGAGGATTTCAAACATATAATTTACTTTCCTTCCATGAAAAAAAAGACATTGCAATGCAAAATAAATCGATGCATCATGTACCATTTCAATTTGTATTTTACAACTTCGAAGTATTCATTATTATCCTGAGGGAAAAAAGGGTTAAAATAACAGCTTGACTTTATCTCCTATACATCATGCCACTTACCGTCTCCAACTTTCCGATCGATTCTAGAACCCTGAAGTGTTGCTGTATTCAAAATGTGGTGAAGAATTAAAGACCCTCATCCGATTTCCAGTGACTGAATTTGTCATAAATTTTCCATGGCTCTTCACTATAAAGATTATAGTTCTTAACACAGATGCCATCTTCCTCTGACAAAATTTCCATAGACTTTATTGAAGAGGTAATAGCTTTTTATTTTATTTTTTGCTGTTTTGGTGAAGGAATTTAACTCTGTTCAGGACTTTGTGTGCAGTCGGAATTCAAATCCAGGTGAAATTAATTAGATTTTAATTTGAATATTGAAAGAAAAATTGGCTTGAAAGAACATTGACATTAACCTTAATCAAACTTGTTATATGAAAAAATAAAAAAATAAAAAAATTGTCATTTATGCGAACGACCTTGTATCTTGCAAGACAGCAAGACTAATGCCCCCAACGTGACAATCCTGCGGTTAAGACATGAGATTTCTGCATGGAGATAAACAAACCTTGTAAAGATTGAGATCGTCAGATTTAAAGACTAAGAAAGGGTATCCCTATTGAATAGCCTAATGCATATTGCTGAATGTTAGATCATAACTTAGAATTTTATCTAACAGCTCAAATTTTTTTAGTTTTGATGGCTGTTTCATATGGAATCATAACCTTACTGTTAGGCTGCACAAGTTTCAAGTTCAAGAAATTTTTACCGTATTATATGTTAAAAAATAATATAATTCGTATCCTTAAGTTAATTTTTAGATTGAGATAATTCTTTGACCCTCATCTTTAATTTATGTATCAATATTGATTTTTTATTTTTCTACAAATTGTAATACAATATTGTATCTACAGTGATATATGATGTAATTAATGCAATAAATTAAACAAATGTTTCTTGAATTGCCATGAACAACGGATTTTTTACGTTTGAAGAATTGGCTCTTGAGCGAAAAGTGGGGGAAATCTCTTCGTGGATACGCCGAAGAATTGCTTTAATTCTTAAAACTTCAAGGATGACTTTTTTGTTTTTTTCTTCATCAATCGTTTCAACTAAGGCCTCCTCTTCGTGGCAGCTACATCGGCTTTCTTGGACCATTTGCATATCTGCAACGTCTATAATGCCATCACCGTTCGCTCCTTACAACCATTTTCTGCCAAATCAACTGCATTGGCATTTAACCTTCTTTAACTCTCCTATTTTTCCTTTGCCGCTTGATTTAGCTGCCTGGAGTCATGTCCATCATGCAGGAAAATAAGGACATGCCAACCTTTTTTTCCCACCTTTGAGTTTGAACTCTTCTGGCTGATCCTTCGCTTCCACTATGATGGCATTGCTGACGATCTCAAATATACTTCCATTTGCAACTCTTTCCACTCGAAAAGCCCCTCAAAATTTATGGTCACAATCTCAAGTCTCGCTACCTCTTTATTGAATTGCAATGAACAACGATCTTTAAAGGAAAAGCAAAAACAAATTTGTTGGAATAATTGGGGGATAAAAGGCTAATCGTAGGTTCGTTTATTCTAAGAATGAGTTGAGAGAAGAAAAACATCTTGATCAAGATGACAATTTTTAGTACTGCTTTTGTTTGTTGGAATGCATAGCAAACAGGGCGTTTATATATGCATAAGGAAATAAATATGTAGACCAATTTGCACCTTGTAAGAAGATTCATTGAGATAATTATGTAATTAATTTTGCATATTTTCATAAATAGAAATCATATAAATTTTATGTGTATTTTTTATATTTTAAAAAGTTATTTGTTCAATTTTCTCCAAAATGAAATTATTATAATTATCATTCAATTAAATTTTAGCACGGATACATATCCGACGTAACCAATTCGTTATGTATCTAATACATTTAGTCAATTATAGTATAAAAATTAGGATATGTTTACCCAATTCTATTGCAATTTGAATTTTATTATTATTATATAATTATTATATAGGTGAATATTGTAATAATTATTTTCTAATTTTAACCACCATTTTTTTTTAATTATGAAAATGTGAAATCAATAATTTTCTTCTTCATTTCTATTTTTTGATTTGTACAAAATGGTTTTAATATAATTATCATTCAATTAAATTTTGGCACAGATATCTAATATAACTAATCCATTATGTATCTAATATATCTAATCAATTATGGTAGAAAAATTATGACATGTTTATCTAATTTATTGCAATTTTATCTATTTATTTTTATAGAGATGCTCATATCTATAACAATTGTATATATAGGTCTACCTTTTTTATAATGAAATTGTACAAGTCAATAATTTTCTTCATTTCTAATTGTTTGAGTTATACAAAATGGAAGTGATATAATTATCATTCAATTAAATTTTAACATGGATTAGAAAAATTAGGACATATGTATCTAATTGATGCAAGTTTTCACTTTCGATATGAGGAAATCAATCATAAACCTTTCATATTCCAATAAAATAAGGAACTTTTTGGTAGTGTAACACCATGATTTTGGTATTGTAACACTATGATGTGTCATAACAAGAGTGGCAAGTAAGGATAGCAATGGGTCGGATATAAAGCGGGTATCCGCTTTATCTAATCTAATAAATATCCTTTAAAGACATTCAATGAGTATTGAAATTGATGAGGATAAAAAAAATATACATCCACTAATATGATTTTAAGATATTCATATTCACTAATTTATTTAGATTTTTTTTTAATTAGCATGAAAGGATCTAATTGCATAAAATTTAAAAATTGAGGATCAAAATATTTTTTTCCAAAAACCTCAAGAGCAAAAAAAACTTATAAATAAATTACTACAATGCCAAAAAAAAAATAAATTTTAAGGATAAAAAAAATTTTTAAAAAAAATTATGAAAACTAAAATGAATATTTTTGACAAATTAAAGTTAACGAATATTTAATGAATATTAAATAGACAAATAAAGTAGTATAAATCAAATATGAATTGAATAAAAATTTATATGCTAATTTCTTAATAAGAAATGGGTATGATATTTTTTTAATAGATAGAGTGAAAAATTGAATTAATAGACCAAATATCTACCCATTGTCATCCTTAGTTGAAAGTAGCACGAGGAACAGTAGTGCTTGGTAAATTACTATTGTGCTTTCAAAAATTTGTATACTTTTTGGAAAAAATATAGTGGAACTCAAACAATCTATTTTCCTTTTGATTAAAAAAAAAAAAAGGACCTTATTTTGATTTAAAAGCAAAACAATTTTCTTCTAAAGTTCTTTTTTTAACAAAAAAAAAAAAAAAAAAAAAAAAAAACAAATGTCCACCAAACAATAACGTTTTTTAAATTTAATTTAATTTTTTTAAAAAATAAAAATAAAAGCACAAGAATAATAAACACCCACTTAAGGGTAAGAGACCAGCCCCATCTTAAAACAGGGAAGCCGTCAGGCAATATGGTGGACAGAGCATTATTAGAACACAACCTCCGACCTCCAAGCCTGCAGTTGCAGAAAAAGAATCCATCTCTAGAGAAAGAGTTCGATAACATCACCCATGGGCCTCATCCTGCTTTGGGAGGTTGGAACACAAGTAATGTGAAAAACAATTAACGAACGAAGGTGTTGGGATTCTAGAAAGAGAGAAAACGTACAAGTCATTAACCATTTTGCAAATATGAACACATTCAACCCCTAGAATCCCAGTGGGCGTAAAAACAGCAAAATGGAATTGCAATAATAGTATATTTTGACAACTGCAGAATCAGTGCATGAACTTTAGTGCAATCCCCAAGTTCTTGTCCTACTTCTCACAAGGTGATACACACATTTTTTAACTTGTAGAGTTTAGAATGTATTGATATTGTCCAGAATCTTCAGATGCAGATGTAAAATGCGAATCAGTGCATGCCTATGGGGCTTCCATGTCAACAGCACGCGCTTATATGCTCTCTGCATCAGTAGTGCCATGGACTAGTTCACTGCGCCACTCCTGGAAGTTCAAACCAACAATCATCTTCACTCCATGACTTCTGATCAAACAAAAGATTTATTTATTTATTTATTTTTTTTTTTTTTATTTTTTTTTTTGCACACTTCATGAAACAGAAAAAATATCGAAATTATCAAAATAGAATTTATAAAAGCTTCACCAGTAGACAACAAAAAAAATAATAACTCGTCCTCAAGACTTTTGAGAGGGCAGAAGTTGCATGCTTCGATGAAGTTGGTGTGAATGTGATACTTGTAAACTGGAACTAATAATCTAAGCATATGTTTCTGCTTTGTCTAGAGTTTACTCAAATAACAATTGATAACAAATTGATGCAGGACCTGCTAGGATCTTAATCATAACATCAGCAATTTATTCGACTTGCATTTATCCAATTGTAGGCGGTTACTATTACATCATTAGCACCACATTGAAACATTCTCCCAAGTTTAGCTGCTAATACGAATAAGAAAAACTCTGTTTCTAGTACGTAGAACAGACTATGGCACCACTCAAGGGATATCTGCAACTCTCGAAATGGAATGGTGCCAGGAACTTGGCTCATTTGGGGGGTTCTATCAATTTTTAAAGCAGGAACTCTTTATTTTATCTTTAAGTGGTGGAAAACCACAGAAATGAATCAGCTAATGAAGATTACGGATTTGGTCAAGAGGAACAAACTTATACTATCTTAGCCCCTCATGGTTGTTTTGGCCGATTGATCTTCCAAGATGCTAGTTTTGACAACTCTCGTTCTTTATATTGATCAAGACAGAAAAATTAGTGTGTTTGAAGAAGGGTTTGAGATAGTATGCGTTTGAAAATTAAAGACACACCTTAGTTATGGAAGACTGTGAGAGTGAAAAATTAGAGGGTAGGTACAACAAAATCCGCTGCTCCAACTCTGCACACAGTAGAGCAATTGCAAAAATTATTTTATAAAGCTAGTTGTTGTCCATTGAATCACTGAAATTGCACAAACTTGTAGTTCATTATGTACAAAACTTGAGAAAAAATAACTTACCACAGAAAGCAATGGTCCCTGTTTGAACTTGTCATGAAACGAAAATGCAATTGGCATTGGATTGTCTCCAGGCCCTCTAATAAACCCACTGGAAGCATATCAAGGCAATTCATAAATACATACAGAATAAAGTTGCTATTCAATTATTCTGATTAAAATCTCATTTTATATATTGTAAAAGACAGAAATAACAATTGAAAAAAGAGACACTACAAACAGATTATAGTGAAATGAGAATGATAATGAAAAACAACTCACATTAGTGACGCAGAAATCAGGGGTGTCCTTCTAATATCATATATCGCAACAAGACCTTTGTAATTATCATCCCCTCCTTTATAAGATATAGCCAATCTTTCACCAGAAGCATCCCAGGCTACCTTCTCAACTCCTTCACTGCATTATAAAACATGTGAAAAAAATAAAATAGAACAGTTGTCATAGTGTCCTTATGCAATCAAAAGGGGGAGAGGACAGAGCAATTAGCTTACAACCCAAAACATTAAGAATATTCATCTGAGGCATAAAATTAAAGATTTAAAAAATGAATGGTCATATCACGCATAACTTCATTTCTTTCTGGAAGTACAATAATTGGATAACCCAATTCACCATCCATTCAGATGCTTTTACTTCTTTCATGTTTAAGAGTCAGTTAAGTCATAAGATATCAAACCTTATAAAAGAAGCTCACAAAACATTTGGTGCAAATTTACGAGACATTTTATATACCTGCCTGCCAAGGTTGTGATCTCTGGCAAATCAACTGGTAACAGATGTGCATCTGCAGCAGAACAATAATGATATGTAAAGGTGAACTAACCATAGAAAAGAATTTATTCACTAAAGAACTTCATTAGAAAAGAAATAAACTGAATTTGAAGAGGAATGATCTTCCATGTGAATAGAAAGCATAAGCAAGAAAGAAAACCAGGTCCACACAGCTTTCCAATCAGAATGAATATCAGGCTAAAGAAAAACCTGGAAGCCTCTGAAACACTACACCATAAATAAGCCCAACAAAGTAATCGATCCCCCAAAAGTTGGGAACCTCTAAAAATTCATTATAAAACTAAAAAAATTCTGTTGTCCACAGTCATCAAATGACTGCAAACCTAGCAAATTTTCACAAAATTCTCTGGCCCTCTCTTCTTCCGAAGGAATGTGCTAGAAGACTCTGCCTTGTAGATTATACATACTATTGTCAAAGTCAACAATTTGATGCTTGATTGAAAAAAGCTAAACAAAATCACCCCCCTGCCCATCCCCTCCCCCATCTGAGTGAAAAAATAAATAAATAAATAAATAACAGAGAGAAAGAGAGAAAGAGAGATACAGGCTTCTTAATTTCTATACAATCCATGAAAACATTCATTTAAACAGACTGTATGCATAAATAAGTACATATAGTAATCCTAAACTTGAAGAATCAGCTGAATCAGCACTCATAGTAGGAAACTATACATTTTGGACTCCTAAATGAACGGAAACACCAAAAACCTACAAATATAACCAAACACAATTTGAGATCCACTGACCTGCAGCCATACAGAACATTACAAACGAGTTCCAAATGTCAAGGGTGTATGATATACCCCTTGACTCGTAAAGGTAAGGAAAACCTAAAAAAATTATACACCTAAATAAACTAAGTAGAGCTCAATACTAGAAGAATGAGATTTTACAGTGCATATACTCTGGAGTGTGATTTCATATAATAAATAGTCTTCTAGTTTGCTTCGTTGCAAGCCTTTTATGATCCACATCAAGATGATTAAGTGCAAATATTTTAAACGGTCCTGCCTGCATACCTAAAGACGGAGGCTTTGATGCGAAATGAATGGAGCCCAATGTCGAAGATCCAGAGAAAGCAATCACTATTATACGGCCATCAGGATCCCATGTTGCTCCCTAATAACAGAAGACATCATTGATATCTGATGCCAATAGAAATTCTTGTATTATATGGGATAACGAACAGCATCCAAGATTATAAAATAATTCAGTTTCTGTGATTATCCAGCCCATTATCCAATTACTTTACCTCCTCAGCCAAATAAAGGTGGGGCATTTAACTCACTTTTAATAAGATTTAAATTTAAAATTTTCATCCATTTCATAAGAATTGCATCAAAAACTTGAAATAGATAGAAAAATGGGGCAAAGAAAAATGGAACATTGATAACTTTCATATTTTGTGACATCAATTCACTTATAATTGGACCAATTAAAATTGAATAAAGAAAGTTAATTTGGAAACTAGAACTCCAAAAAGTTGGATTGGCATCGTTTTGGCAACATTCATAAGAAATAAACAAAACAAAAAACTAGAATAGGGATTACAATAGCTGAAATTCTTTACTTAAATTATCTCAATATTTTGAAAATTGTAATCATGAGGTTAGTAGTTATACTTGAATGGTGCGAGTGTCATCTTATTCTTACCGTGACAAAGCCACTAGACGAAGACCAAGGTTCAGACGTCCATGTGTTTGTCTCCCAGAGATAAAATGTCCCATCACTAGATGGGAAAAAAAAAAAAAAAGATTAGCAACGCCTCTTGAAGTGGGGATCAATGTTCTATCCAAATATATATATATATATATCAACTTGAGTTATGGGCATACAATTTTGCAGCAAAAAAGTAATCCCCAGTAGGTGACCATTTCAGTGTCGATATGCCTCCTAATCCCCGTCGAATGGGTGTCCCTAAACCTAGAGATTGTTATAAAAACAAGATAGAAGGAAGAGATTAGAGACCAAAAACCTGTGAGTGATGAAATATCAAGCACAATAATAAACTAGCCTCCCCCAAAGCTTGAGGAACACATATAAAGGCACAAGGTCCATAAAAAACCAATAGGTTTTATCCATGAAAAGCCACACATCAGACCATGTCTGAGGCATATATGTATGAAGCCAACGTCAGGAAAAATACAAAAATAAGCAAATAAAAAGCTATTTTCTTTTAGCTGGAAACTTCAAATGGCCTCTGTTACCAACTAATTGATGCTAACCATAACAATTTAAGGGGTCAACAATATTCACATACCTTGCGAGACATCCCATATGGTGAATGAGGAACTCTCACATGATGCAGATGCCAAAAATGTGAAGCTAAGTCAAGGAAATTCAATCCCCTTCGAAAGCAGAAAATAATCTGGAATGATGAATAGGCATACAAACTAGATACTAAATTTCACAGCTAACAAATTGTAGAAAATATTAAGGATCTTAAGACTAGTCTAACAGAAGTAAAGCTTGCACACTAATTCTGAAAAAAAAAAAAAAAAAAAAAAAGGCTGCCATATACATGTGATAAAATGGTATGGGGATGTAAAAAGCTTCAATGACTACAAGATCTGCTATGACTTTGATCTAAAAGCAAATCCTTCTAATCATTTAGGCAGATGTAACACAAAACTATAAAACTTCAAATTTAAATTGATTAGGATATCTTCCATCAGGACTCCAAGATAGCGCACTTATTTGTTCCTCGTTATGACTACGAAGAAAATCCACTAGAGTCCATCGACCTCCAGAGCCTCTCGTAAGGGTTCCCAAGTAGGGGGCAGCACTGGGTCTCACAGTTGCTGCATTACCTGGATAAGAAGCAGCCCAAATGCAGATTCCACCCCTGAAATCCAACAACCGAGAAAATGCACAGGCTCAGTACCTTATAAAAGAACTCCCATAAGTTAAATACAATGGCAGAAATTTCAATTTCCGATACTTGCTTGCATGCTACAGAAAGTGACTTTCCACCATTTGGTCTCCACTCAAGGGCCTTGATATCTCTCTGAGCCCCATTGCTTAAAATGGAAGCGTCCTTCCCTTTTGTTGAAAAAATTAGGAGCAATATCTCTCAGGAGTCTTTAAAAAATAGGCTTTACCCCAAAACAAATGCACTGCTCTTTTAAAATCACAAAAACCTTGTACTATAAAACTGCTCACCTGAATCTTCATAATCACGAACTATAACCTGATTTGGACCCGAAATAAATGCAATAATATGCTTATGTTGGTGCCAGCTCACTCCTTGAAGATCAATCTCTGGTAACAAGTGTACCTATACCATTCACTACTTGAGAATGCAGAACTACAGTGTATCAATTCTTTCACTCACTACTTCTCATTCATACACTTATAAGAACAGTTGTGATGGCCTAAATTCTCATTTAAAGCATGTATCATTACTAATTACAAAATCAAACTAAATTTAAAAGATTGAGGTGTTTTTATTAGCTTACACAATTGGGGTAAAACATTCGCTTTATCGAGTCATTAACAAGGTACTGCAATGATTTGACCAAACCTTTCCTTTCAAAACTCTCGCCATTGTTTCTTTCCTGGTGTTCAGTTTCCTGATCTTTGCCGGTTGATCCCAATTGCTCTGGTTGAAATGGAATTGGACTAAACACCATTCCCTAGTCATCATTAAATCCAAAACGTTTAAAACTTTCACTAACAAAACACAAAATAAAACCAAACCCATTTTTTATAAACACTACAAAAACAACCTATCACTAGAAAACCAAAACTCTGAAACTTTTCATTGGTTCAATTCTAAAAAAGATGAAAACTTTCAACAAAAAACACAAAATAAAAGAAACCCATTTTTATAATTACAAAAAGGAAGCCAATTTACTAGAATTTTTCCATAAGTGTCCTTGGCTCTATCATCAGAGATGAATTCAGCTACAACTGCAATGTAGAGCAAATAAATGTGTAAAAACCTAACCTTTTTGGAAGAATTAGGAAATCAAAAAATTGAATGATTTAAGAGAGTGAGAAAGAGTACTTAGGTCTCGATTGATTTCGCAGATGGTGACTGAGCCTTGCAGTGGAAAGGAAGGCATGGCTTTTGAGAGGATGCAAGACAGTGACTCAGTGGGTTGGGACCGAGTTGTTGTAATTTGGGGTTTAGGGTTTTTGTTTTCTCGTTGCAGTGCAATATTTCTTAGAGAGCTTGGATTCTTGATTGCCCCATTTACCTTCCCGCTTTTTTGCTAGGTTATTAGTCTATTACGATTGTTCAGTCCCTGGGTTCTTAAAGCGCTTGTATTTAGTCCTTTGTTATTAATCATTGGTTCAATAATAAATTTTATCCTGATTCTATTGCAATTTGATAATTTCAGACCTATAATACTAAATTCTATAATTTTAACTCTAAAGTATTAGACATTGAGAAAATATGATCTCAATTGTCCAATCTCCACTAATTGATCGTTATTTGAAATGCTAAAATGATATCGTTTTGACATTATTTTATTAATTATGTATTTAAAAAAAAATACTTTGAAAATGCTTTTAACCCTCATAATCTTGAACTTTAAAAAAAAAAATCTTACAAAATATTATAAACATTTTATAAACTATATAAAAATATTTTTAACCATCTAATTTAAAAAAAAATAAAAACTTTTATAAAATGTTATTGTAAAAAAAAAACATAATTATAATATTTTATTAAAAAGTTCAAAATTAGGGGGTTTCAAAATAGTTATAAAATGTTGTTTATATAATTTATAATATTTTATAAGATTTAAAAAAAAACTGTTCAAGATCAAGGGTTAAAAAAAATTTTAATTTTTTTTAAATCATAATTAATAGCAGAATATTAAAACAACGTTGTTTTATCACTCTAAGTAATGATCAACCTAGTTGGTCGTTGTATATAAAGGAGATTGAGTAATTTAGATCACATTTACCTAATTTCTAATATTTTAGGATTCAAATTATGAAATGTAATATTATAGGTCCATGATTGTCAAATAACAAAATTTGCCATTAAACCATCAATCATTTTGTTTACAAATTTACTCTTTTGTACTTTAAAATGGCTAAAGTCTCTTATCTTACCAATCTCACACCTCTTTCTCTTCTTTTTGTTCTCTCATTTCTTAAAATAAAGAAGTTTTATTTTGTGATGCAACCCTCACTTAATAATGTTAGCAACTGCTACTACTAAAATGGTTGGAATTGCATATGATTTATCATTATTAGTTACAAGTGTAAAAAAGGGGTTTTAAGTGATGAAATACGAGTCTAATGACAACAAACGTTGATTGTATTATTAAACTAATATAAAAAAGATATAATTAAATTAAATAAATATAATTGATTTTAAAGAATCTGTCAAAATATTGAAACTTATAACTAAAAGATTTCAGCATCAAATATATAATATTTTTTTTCATTAGTGTAATGCAAAAAAAAAAAAAGAGATTAATTGAAAAATATAAAAATGACAAATAAATAAATTGGATCCTATCAATCGAATTTGATTTTTTAAAAGAATATAATATTATTAATAAACACAAAAGAACGAGTAGGGGAGATAGAATGAAGAAGACGGACGGGAGAAAAAATAGACAATAGGAGAAGGATTGAGTTTAACTTTGGTTTGACAAGAAAGATAAAGATCTAAGGAAGGATTTGAGAAATCCCTCCAATCTTTCATTACTTATAATTTTCAATTTAGGTAAAATGACATTTATCTTTTTCTTATTTGTTAGCAAAACATCTAGATAAATGGTCGGTCATCTATCATTTTCCTTCCCTTTCTTTTTACCTTTTTCGATCAATAATTCCCTCCATCTTTTTCTAACAAATAGACCCTTAAAGTTCGAAGGTGTTAAAGATTTAGATATAAAAGGATAATAATAATAAAAAGCATTCTAATTACTTCACAATCAACCCAAGACATTAGGCAAGGGATGAATCCATAAGTTTTGAGTAATGAAGGACTAAATTACTAGAATATTGAAAATCTAGAGACTTAAGAATAATTAACTCAAAACATAATTTGTAAGCAAGGCTGCAAGATAAACATACCCTATACATAGCCCATGATACACATTGATTACTTCATCAATAAGCCAAGCCTGGGTATAAGATGCTTGAAGCTAGACCAGACCAGCCCATACAAGTAAAATAGAATCACTCTTCAAAGCCCGAGCTCCATAGCCCGCCCTCTCCTTCTCTGATTTAACTATATTTTTCTGTTCTCAGACCGAACAGGAAAAGAAAAAAAAATGATCCTGTCGAAAATCAGCAAGCACCCCTGTTTATTACCGACCAGAATCCACACAAATCGTCAAGAAACACACTTTCCAGGAATCCCATATGGTCCATTCAATTCATTTATCCAAAAAAGGTGGAAAAAGCCAGCAAACACAGCACAAACTCGCTTAGAATCCAGAACTACAGACTCCAAACTCGACAAACTAACAACCCACCTCAAAAAACTCAAAACAATCCTCAAAATCTACGACCTCATGTCTAATCGAAAGAGGGGTGCCTTTGTCTCCCTCCAGTTGATGTCTAGATGGAGAAATATAGTGGGGTTGAATGTAGCTATGGGTGAGTTTGTGCATAAATACCCCCATGTGTTTGATGTATTTACACATCCGGTTAGAAGGAATTTGTGTTGTAGGATTAGTGGGAAATTCAAGGGTTTGGTTACTGAAGAAGAGGGTGTTGTAAAAGATTGTGAACTAGGGTGTGTGAAGAGAGTGAAGATGTTGTTATTGATGTCTAAAGCTGGGAGACTTCATATTCATGCTTTGAGGTTGATTAGGAGAGAATTGGGGTTGCCTGAGGATTTTAGAGAGTCAATTTTAGGGAAGTATGTAGATGACTTTAGGTTGGTTGATTTGGAGATCGTTGAATTAGTTGATAAAGATGAGAACTTGGGGGTGGCTGAAGTTGAGAAATGGAGACAAAAAGAGTACAAAGAGAAGTGGTTAAGTGAGTTTGAGACAAAGTTTGCATTTCCTATTAATTTCCCAGCGGGTTTTAAGATTCAAAGAGGGTTTAGAGAGAAGTTAAAGAATTGGCAAATGCTTCCTTATTTGAAGCCTTATGAGGGAAATGAGGTTGTTCGGGTGGGTACTTGTGGAGGGAAGGAGAGATTTGAGAAACGAGCGGTTGCGATGATTCATGAGTTGTTGAGTTTGACAGTAGAGAAGATGGTTGAGGTTGAGAGATTGGCTCATTTTAGGAAGAATTTTGGTATGGAAGTGAATGTGCGCGAGTTGTTGTTGAAACATCCTGGGATTTTCTATATATCAACTAAGGGAAGCACTCATACTGTTATTCTTAGAGAAGCATATAGTAAAGGGTGTTTGATTGAGCAAAATCCAATTTACGTTGTTAGGAGGAAGATGTTGGATCTTGTATTTCTGGGTTGTCGAAATACAAGACAGTTGCAAGCTGAGGAAGAAATTAAGAAAGGGAGTGACAGCCTGATTAGGACAGCAAATGCTGGAAGTACAAGAGTTGGAGAGTGGGTCGTCCCAATTTTAGAGAGTTTTGACAATATGAATGACCATGATGATCCAGGAGAACTCAGTGATGCATCTGAGGACGAGTTTGATGGATGCTATGAAACTGGAGGCAGTAAATGTGACGGATGAACTAGGGGATGGCACAATAACATATGGTGGCTTTACATTCAGCATCCAACGTTTGATTGCATGGTGGACACGTTTGAACACCAACAAGGTTGCCACCACAATGGCTGCTAGGAATATAAGTTCTACTCCAAACAGTTTCTGCTTTTCTAAATGGAGTAATTTTACACCAGTACACCAATACATCCATTTGGTAAGCCTGCCTATTATCAATTTAACAATTTATTTTCCCTTGTTTAGGGACACAGAAGTAGTTTCGTGTAGCATTCCAGAAGGTCTAAGGGGCGCAGAATGTACACCTTAACTTGAATCATAGTCTTCTCAGAAATGCTGGAGTGTCGAAATGGATGGCTGTTAAGACCAACAAATATGAATCTATGTTACGTAGGCTTCTTCTCAGACATGCTAAGGGTCCTAGTAACCGACTGCACTGATGATTTGTGACTGGCTGCTTTAAAGATGATCTGGCTGGGATTATGGACAAGCATTCAAGGGGTCAGAGGATTGATGGCCTTAGCTTGACTTGAATACTCGCTTTAGCCAGTGCTGAAGCATTTAATGAGAGCTGAGTGGGAAAGCGTGCCTCTGGCTCTAAACACAGATAAAGTGGTGATTTAGAATGACTTTGGTTATTGATTCATGAAGTCTTATTGGTACACGACCAGGCTGTCTGAACATCAACAAGATTGGCACTGGACCGGGCTGCTTGAGATCTAAGATTGCCTCTGAAACAGTTCTGGTTTTCGGTTTCCTTTTATTTCACCCTCAAAGAGTACTTTTTCACCACACCCATTTTTTCTCTCTTTTAACTTAGATCATTTTTATAAACTTGGCGTCAATTTAATACGTTCTTCTCCTTTTTTGAAGGGACAGAAGTAGGTTGGTGTAGCATTATAATCTTATCAGATGTTCAGCAATATGACAAAGAAAATCTGAAAAAATCCAGCAAACGAAGTCTTTAATGCTGTGGTCAATAATGACGGTGAAGAGAAAAGAATTGCAGCACAGTTATTCTATTAATGCTGTGCTGGGTCAACAATGATTGAAGACTATTTCTTCCATCACAAAACAAGAAGCAGTCTCCAGTCTACGTAAGGCCCATCAATGGTTATTTTGCATAAAAGCAAGGGAATCTTCAACTTACAAAATCAAGGTCTCCTCATATGCTAAAGCAACGAAGTTAAGATTCTCGACCAACAAATTTAACTTAGACACAGAAAAAGAGGAAAAAGCGGGGAAGTGCTATAAGTTAGACATATCTTATGGCCCCCGTCGCCTTTCAGGTTCTCTCAAGAATTCCCTCTTGATCTTTTTAAGCCTTGCTAGGATTTCAACCATGTTGATCCTTTCCTCAGGTGATTCATTAGTACACTTCAAAGCTGACTCCATTATAGATGTGACGCAATGCTCCTTGTTTTAAGGAGTAGCCATCTCCTCTGTTCAGCATATTGCTATCCACAACGTCAAGTATTGAATTAGGCAATGATTCTTTGACCAATCGGTAGGCTTCTTTCGCGTGAATATTTCCATCAACATGATTCCAAAGCTGTAGACATCAATCCTGGCGGTGGCGGACACAAGTCCATCCTGTCCATGTTCTGCATATAAGGGTTATAGGATGTGATTTGCTAGATATTTAATCCAAGGCATGGCATATATTCTATAATAGGGACACTAAAGATCACCTGGTGCCATATACCCTATTATGGCAAGGGTCTTGGTTTGTGCAATGGACTCACTTTCACCCAAGAGTTTTGCAATGCCAAAGTCACATACGTGTGCAACCATGTCTTCATCTAGCAACACATTGCTCGGTTTCAAATCGCAATGCACCACCGGAGTTGAATGACCGTGATGGAGATACTCTAACGCAGATGCAACATTGTAAGATTGTAACCATTTTTCCAAGTTTCCTTCGGGCATGTACTCCAGGACCAAGCCGTTGACGTCAAGAGTAGAGCAGCTGCAAATAATCTTCACAAGGTTGCGGTGTCTAACGCTGTGCATGGTTTCACACTCTATCAAAACTTCCGATTCCTCCTCGCACTGCAGATTAAAAATCTTCACAGCTATATGCAGCCCATCAGGAAGCACCCCTTGATATACAGAGCCAAAACTTCCAACACCCAGTAGATTAGTCTCATTAAATTCATTTGTTGCGCGTTTAAGTTCTAGGTAAGAAATTCTTCTCTGTATTGCTGTCAATGGCAAGGGTTAACAAGTTCTGGAGCGAGCCTATTGAACTTGGAATATTACCAGACAATAGATTACTCTGACAAATCAATTGATGTCCAAGCCTTCAATTCCCCAGTTCGCGTTGGAAGAGTCCCGCCCAGGGAATTTGAACTGAAATTCAAATCCAAGAGATCATTGAGGCTCCATAATGTCAAAGGGATGGTAGGACTCAATGCGTTGGAATCAAGATAAAGTTTTCTTAAAAAAGGAAGATTCCCTATGCAGTTAGGTATCGATACAGTAAACTGATTTGAACTCAAGTCTAATACAGCCAAGCTCCTTGCAAGACTATATCAGAAGCAAGGGAACCAGTAAGCCTGTTTCTATAAAGATCGAATACTTGAATCTCCCTTAGCCCTTCCACGATCGTTGGAATAGGTCCAGTCAAATTATTGTCACCCAAGGCTAAGCCAATTAGGTTACTCAAGTTGCCAATCTCACTTGGAATATTGCCTTTTGAGTTTGCTGGAGTATACATAAAAATATTCTAGAGAAGTGGAGAGATTCCCTACAGAATTTGGAAGCATGCCATTTAAAGGGTTCTTCCCTACGCTCAGTGTTTCTAACTTCCTAAAATTTGTCAAAGAAGTGATAAAGTTGAGTACCTGACTGGAAAGGTCATTAGTAAAGAAATTGGAATGCAAAATAAGGACTCTTAGGGCTCTCAAGTTTCCAAATTCTTGCAGAATGGATAACAAGTCAAGCATTTCTGACCTGGTTAAATTACCAAGAGAGGGTGGCAGTGGCCCCTCTTAACATTTTTGCACCAAAGGTTCGACATTTGCATGGAATCTCACCACTGAGCTGGTTTTGCTGAAGCACCAGCATTTCTAGTAAAGGGAGGTGGTGACATATGTCCGTTGGGAGACGACCAGTCAATTCATTCCAGTGAAGATAAAGCATATTTAAAGAAGAGATGTTGAAGATGGATGATGGAATATGACATGATACGAAGCAGATGGATGATGATTAATGGGTGAAGAACTAAGTTTTTAGTGATTTACAGGAATTAATATTTTGATTTATATCAATAAATTGGATGTAATTCGAGAAAGAAACCTATAAATAGATTTATTTGTAAAAAAAGAACTTTTAAAACTATCATTTAAAAGCATGTAATAAAAATAGCAATGAGTAGACATTGCCAATTTTTTAAAATTGAAACTCAAATATTAATGATTCATCAATGAGATTATTATTAGATAATTGCTAGAAAAATCTTCTACAAAACTCATCAATTTATTTTCAAATCTCTAAATCTAAAAAATATTTTTTTTATCAAAATACCTAATACTTAACCCTCAACTTAATATTAATTAATCATTAAGTGTTTAAATAAGAAAACTATTGTTTTAGATTTGAGATGTTTGAAAATAAATTGATGAGTTTTTTAGATAGAAGATTTTTTTAAATGATTTTTCTAATAATTATCTTATTTAATACTTTTTTTTTATGAGGTCGATACCATTTTTTTTTTTTTTATAATCATGATCAAGTTCAAGTTCTATCTCATTGCAATCCGAAGAAAAAGAAAAAAGTTTGCCTAGGTTGTTTGGATGTTCACACATCAACCTTCAACTACTATTTTCTTATTACACTAAAAAAAAAAATTATAAGAGTTTTATTTTCTTCTATTCATCATCGTTTGTTTCATCAACTATGAAATTAGCTTTACTACCTAGTAGATAAAATTAGATTCTTGTTATCCTCTTGTAATTTAATCCAAGAATTATTATAAACATAAGAAAATCAAGGATATGTAAGGTTATGAATATTAGTGATATCCTAAATCCTATCATATTGATATAAAAGAAGCACCATTAGAATACTACTGTTTAATTAATCAAAGCTTAGCACTTTTTATCTAACGATTAAATTAAATTACATGAATATATAATGTATCTTGATGCATTAATTAGATAGAGCATAGGCATCCACAATAAAAATATATACTTTGAAAAATAATAGTTTTATTTAAGTTAGGAATAATTACTAGAAAATCCTCTTAAAAATCGTTTATCTAAAAACACATCAATTTATTTTAAATCTAAAAAATATTTTTCTTACTAAAACAAATTTCATAGCTAATCGGGTGTTAAGTTAAGAGTTAACTCGTTGTATATTTTGGTAAGATTTTTTTTTTATTATTATTATTTGAGTTTGAGAGGTTTGAAAATAAATTAATGGAACTTTTAAATAAAAGATTTTTTAGAAGGGTTTTCTAGTAATTCTCTTTTTTATTTAATCTTCAGCCTCTACAAGAGTTTTTAGTTGTAGATGTTGACTAAATCAGTAATCAAAATCAAACTTTTAAGAAATAGATTAGATTATTTATTATCATAATTTTTTTTAATATTTTTATGATATTTATTTTTATAATATAATAAAAATAATTTTATTTTTAAAATCAAGATTCCAATACTTTTTTATTATTATTTGTTAGGTTTATTGTATCCATGTATCACTAGACCATCAAAAAGAAAACTTTCATATATATGTGTGTGTGTGTGTGTATCTCGTTTGTGTTTTACTTTTTGGACAAAATTCTCCTTAGACCATCAAAAGAAAATTTAATTTCAAAAATCACAAAAATTAAATTAAAAAAAATAATAATAATATTTAATGTTAGAACACATATCCCACGTTGAATATTTAAATAAAAGATATCTCACGTTGAATAGCTAAATAAAAGATAAGTGACATATAAAGTTCGTAAAGAGTTATCCATCATAAGATTTAAGTCTTATCTATGGAATCTAATCTCAATTATCTAGCTCTATATTTAATATAAAAAATTACAAAAGATTTGGACATCCCAAAAAATGAAATAAACTAAAAAAAAATTTCAAAAACATTGGTAACTAATGAAAATTTTAAAAATTCCAACTCCTGCAAAATTTATTTTGATGTCATAGAGACTTTGTGGACATGATTTTTCCATCTGTCAGATTTTACAAGTTAGTATTATTATGAACTTTTTTTAAAAAAAAATTCTAAGTTTTCTTAATGTTATTACGTTTTGTTTTTTCTAGGTGTTTTTTTGTGTTTTAAATTGTAAAATATTTTACGGTAATTTTTTTAATGGTTCCAGGGCATTATGGTCTAAAAGCTGATAAAAAATGGCATATGAGAGAAAATAAGAATATATAATGACATTTAGAAAAGAGAAATTCTAAAAATATATATATATATATATATATATATATATATGAGAGAATACACCTAATATCCGAGGATAGATAGATTAATTAACCCTATTTTTTTCTTTTAATGAAAACAATTGATCACATGAAACTTTCTGGCTTGAGATGAAGAGTGTTGTTTCAATTTCTAACTATATATGCTTGTTATTTAAAAAGAAAGTGCAAACTTTTTACATATGGTCGTATGTATCTCCTATCATATAAATAAAAATAAAAATTGATGATCAAAATGTAGGTTATGCACAGAGCATGTGACTCAAACCTGACTACATATTTTCACCCAGATTTAAAACCTGAAGAGGAAGGTATCCAATTCCTTCGGGTATGGCTCCAGTGAAAGTATTACGAGTTAAATATAATGTTTGTAGCTCTCTGCATTTATATAATCTAGACGGAATTGGCCACTGAAACGATTCGAGTAAAGTGAAAAGAATTCCAGTTTGGGAAGATGGTCGCACATGTTCTTGGGTAGACTTCCAAGTATGAGGTTAAACGAGAGATCGATGACTTGCAAGGAAGAGAAGTTGAAGATTGTAGATGGAATTGTACCTGAAATATATTTAATTTATAGTTACTAACTTGGCATGAGAACTTCTTAATATGAAACTGATGATTTGAAGAAGGGGATCATAACGTACCTGTGAGATTATTTCTATCCAACAATAAATTTTGAAGTTTGTGCAAATTCCCGTAACTTTCCGGAATCACTCCTGTAAGGTAATTAGTTCCCAAATTAATCGATGTAAATTACCTATCTCGCTGGGTATATGCCTATGGAAGCTGTTGTTGTCAAGATTCAGAACTCGAAGGAAGAAGAGGTTTCCAAGTTGCGGTGGGATGGTCCCTGAAACGATTCGAGTAAAGTGAAAAGAATTCCAGTTAGACCCGTGTGAGAGAGGTCCAATGCCGTGACTCGTTGCCTGCGAAGACTGCACGAGACTCCTCGCCAATTGCAGAAGGAGGTTTCGGAAGACCAGTTGGGATCAAAAGTAATGTGAGCTTTGAAGGAAAGAAGAGCAGATTGATCAGTAAAGTTACTTTTGGCCATGCATATGCACTTTCCTGGCAAAAACATTAGCAGCATTGAAACAAGAATACCAATGATCCAAAATTTCCCCATAATTTTAAGTTGGGTAATGAAAATGAAAATAATAAAGATAAAGCTTTATAAGCTGATCAGAGAACTCTGTTGAAGATGGCACCTAATACTCCTCATCTTCAGGGCAGCTGTCTCCTCCATTTTCATTGAAAATAAGAGAGGGCTTTCCAGGTTGCATATACATTAATTTTAGCCCAATTGTGAGTGTAGACATGGCAACTAATCAAATTTATCTACTTAATTGGAAGGAATTAGCCGCCCTCTTCGACTTCGTGATCCTAAAAGCATGGCGTCTGAGAAGTTGACGGCTTAATATTACGTAGTAAAATTTGTGTGCATGCCATGACCAGCAAATTCAACTTCGAGAGAAAACCAAGGCCACTTTCAAAGGGATTATCCGGTCTTCAAGAAGATGTACTCCATCTTTTGACTTCATAAATTTGAATCTCAAGATTCACACCTGAATAAATTCATTTTCTTTAAATACACTAAAGGCTAATAGATTCGATAATATACTCTCAATCAAATATTGATTGATATCTCAATTTTAATTTTTTAAATTCAAGGATTATAATTATTTTTTGATTTGTAATCAAATTGATAGATTTTATCGCCGAGATAGTGAAATGATGAAAAAAGCTATGTCTAAATTAAATTACCAAACTTAATTTTTTTTCCACCATTCTTTTTTTTTTTTCCCATCTCCAATTTTCTTGTCTTTTCAATCATCAAAATGCTTCTTTACATATTGAATCTCCAGCAACCAATTTCTTCTTGGTTAACAAAAGCGATGTGTTTCTCATTAAGAATCCTTGCGAGGTGGCATGTGATATACAAAACAAAACAAACACGTCGGTGATTATCCCCCAAATTAATCAATTGTAGACTCGAATTATCTCATTTCCAACGGCTATTCTTGTCAAGAAATTTAAATTTCCAACCATCTTTTACCTTTAAAATTTTGAACAACAAGAATATAAGAAATTTCTCAACAATATTCTTGTCAAGAAATTATCCCCCAACTATATCTAATTCTCAATCAAATCCCTAAAAAGAACATCCCGAATACACATTATCTTGAAAACTTTGTATTTCTTTAGTATATTACATTGATGATTACAATAAAATATATAGGTAAAGATTAGACTATACATGTAACCCTCGTAAAATTCGTAATCGTATAAGTGTACGTATCAAGATATTATATTCGTACGTATATATATAATATATCGATTACGTACGTGAAAATCGTAACTAGATCAACATATGTACTTGGAATATGCGGTATTTACGTTTTGTTGAGAATAACGAGTGTACGTACAAAAAAAAAAACATTGGGTAAATTAGTTACAAAATTTATTTTATATGGAATAAGTATAGATTATATATATAAAAAAAAAAAAGAAGGAAAGTGCTAATTGTCGAAATTTCGGTAGGAATTCTGAAAATGTAGTTAATTGAATTACCCTTATTTAATCACATTTTGACCCCTACTTTTTACAAATTTCCATTGACCATCATCTTGAAATTTACACTCATCATTTCATTAAT